AGTAAGTAATGAAGTATTATAAGGTCTGTACAGTTGATAGTAAGTAGTGAAGTATTATAAGGGTCCGTACAGTTGATAGTAAGTAGTGAAGTATTATAAGGGTCTGTACAGTTGATAGTAAGTAGTGAAGTATTATAAGGGTCTGTAGTTGATAGTAAGTAGTGAAGTATTATAAGGGTCTGTACAGTTGATAGTAAGTAGTGAAGTATTATAAGGGTCTGTAGTTGATAGTAAGTAGTGAAGTATTATAAGGGTCTGTAGTTGATAGTAAGTAGTGAAGTGTAATAAGGGTCTGTAGTTGATAGTAAGTAGTGAAGTCTTATAAGGGTATGTACAGTTGATAGTAAGTAGTGAAGTATTATAAGGGTCTGTAGTTGACAGTAAGATAAATAATGGATCATAAGGGTCTCTATAATTGCTAACAGTAAGAGAAATTTCTATAATGGACTGTAAATAAGGTGTGGTAAACGTCTGTATAATTTACATTAAGACAAAAAAAAAGACATCTAAAAAACGTATAACTGACAGCAATAGTACTACGGTACAATAAGGGTTAGGGCTATGATATAATAAGGGTTTGTTTAGACGATAGAATTGAGGAACGACAATATTAAAAATCAGAACCGATGTTATTACATAGAAGATGTGAATCTGCACCGATAGGTGGGGTTTAGTAACAACGTGTCGTGAAAACCGAAGTTTTGAGTGCATGTACACAGTGGTTTTTGCACAGAATGTTTTTTAACTGAAAATATAGTTTGTAACTGAAATATACTGTGTTGGAGAAACATTGTATTTGATATTCATAGGTAAGTTTACGTTATAGTTCTATATCATGAAGCGCCCTCAGGTGGCAGAGAGTAGGCATGGAATAATATTTGACATGATAAATGAATTGTTAGCAAAAACAGTTATTGTCGTAGTCAGATTTGGAGATGTGAATTTAAGTAAAAAAGAAAATAACGTTCAATCATTACAGATGGTAATAAAACAAGAGTTTTTATTTATCCATTTAAATAAATACAAAATTTCCCTGGCGTTTAGATTACAAAATAAAGTAGTTTTGAGTATCAAAGGCTACAAAGTGTTTGGGAAACAGGCGTCGCTCGCTTCACCGGGATTAAATATACATAGTTACTAATGTAGAAAACAGTGTTAGGTTTATTTTAATTTTTCACTCATTAAAACAATACTTGTTCTTAAATAAAATAATATAGGGGAGAAGAATGAACATTCTTTAATCAAACATTTGCAATAAAATACTATTACACTCAATCTAAAAAGGATATTTATGTACTCTTAAAAACTTACAAATTATTACCCCCACCCCTCATGTAATGCAGTAAAACACGTACGATTTTCATTAGTTGTAGAGCACTGTACTTAACGACGCCAAGATAGCTGCTTGAAACTGACATCACGGAAAATTCTTGAAAATAATTAAAGGCGCCATGTTTAACCCTCTGATACCCGCTTAACACTAATCGTTAAAGTTCATATTATTTTTGAACGACGCAATAGCTGTATCGAGTAATAAAAAATAAAGCTATATAATTTTAATTTGAGTTTACATCATACTAGTAAAGATATATTTAAGATTTGTCGGCAAATCCTCACCCTCATAAATTTTATTTATTTTCTCTTATTAATTCAGTCACTAAATCAGTATGCAAGTAATATAAATTTTAAAGACTATTACACAATAAGAGGGTTATCTGCAACAGAAACCCATAATATAATTAACAAAATCGACAACAATTCATAGCCAGATTTTGGGTTGAACCTCTCCCCCCCCCCCCTCCATGGAGTAGAAAATCCGTTACTTGTGTTATGATATAAAAGAATTAAAAAAAAAGAAATACCTCAAAACATATAAATATTGTACATTGATTATAACAAATAAGATCATCACAGTTTACCATAATGTTAAATGAGATCTTTTAAACTGTCCTCAAAAAGCCTTTTAGGCTTAACCCTGAACACCATCTTTATTTAACGTTAGGCTTAACCCTGAACACCATCTTTATTTAACGTTAGGCTTAACCCTGAACACCATCTTTACTAAACGTTAGGCTTAACCTTGAACACCATCTTTATTTAACGTTAGGCTTAACCCTGAACACCATCTTTATTTAACGTTAGGCTTAACCCTGAACACCATCTTTATTTAACGTTAGGCTTAACTCTGAACACCATCTTTACTAAACGTTAGGCTTAACCTTGAACACCATCTTTACCGAACGTTAGGCTTAACCCTGAACACCATCTTTATTTAACGTTAGGCTTAACCCTGAACACCATCTTTATTTAACGTTAGGCTTAGCCCTGAACACCATCTTTACTAAACGTTCTTACCGGACGGTCTCAGGTACACACCTATAGATTTGTTTTTTTTTACTCTCCTTACCAGGATCCATTAAGTAAACCTTCCATAACCACCAACTGAGTCCTTAGCGGACTCCAGTCTCCAAACTGGAAAAATCAGTGGAGAAAGAATGACATCGACTTCAAATCACTCATCACTGAATTCGTTTTTTATAGTTCTTTGTCAAGTATTATAGTGGTCATTCTAAAATAGTTAGGCGGCTGCCAAAGTCACAGATCTACTGGTTCGATGTTCTTGCCAGTGACGAAACAAAACAAAAAAAGGTCTTCTCTTATAAGATATTTTGTATACGTTATTTCGGACAGATTATCACCGATAAAATATTTTGATGTTCCAACTTGTTTATAAAAAATATTTGGTTTCCTAAAAACAACTTGGAAACTTTCTTTGAAATGTAATAAATATACCTATATAAGGCCCAAACGTATGGACAAATATTAGATTAATACGCATACGAAAACATTAACTCCAACAACGGACTAATATCGGACATTGGATCCAAAACTGATTAGAGTCGAATTCAAGTCAAGCAGTAACAAATATGACAAGGTGTTTATGGTTTAATAACATATAAAATTACACTGTTGAAAGAAGTCTCAGGTAATAAGAGTAAATTTGTTACCACAAATAAAAGTAAAGCGACTTCGTGCAAATTAGAAGCCTGGAATGTCCGAAAGAAAGCTAGCTACCTTAAAAACATTTGGACCTGTGGAATAGGCGGCGGAACAAATTTTAATTGGTGGTGGTGGGGGAGGGGGGCACCTTATTTGCTATATTAACTGTGACCATTTATTGAAAGTTGAGACAGCGACTTTTACAGATAATTATATGCAAATTTTCTATATTCCATTAAAAATAAGGAGGCACGTTCCCCAGTAACCCCCCGCCCCCGATTCCGCCGCCTATGAACCTCACGCATCCATTTTTATCTACACTATTCTACTTGAAACGTGTGAATGCTTGCTCATGAAAAATATTTGTGTAGCATGTTACAAGTTGTTTTCATGTTCATAAAAAAAAACAACGTTTGACATTTATCATATGTTTCCACATGGCTATATTGACTTTGCAAAGCCAAATCACTGATGGTAAAAAAAAATCTGTTATCTTGGCACATTGGACCAGAAAACAAAGTAAATAACACCAAAGAAAAAACTGTGGGAAGATAGCTTTCATTATAAAGTTAACCTACGAGGGCCGTTGAATCAGAAAATAAAGTAAATAAGGTCAAAGAAAAAGGTCTTACCATAAATAAACCCATAATTTTCTTGCCTAATTTATAAGGCTTCCATACTTTATAAAAATATATATATAAATAAACTCTCTGTTTATTTTAAGAGTCTTGAACTGTATTTTACTAAGGCTGCGATTCTTCGACCGCTCGGTCAACGCCATGTTTTAACCTGGACATGGCAAAACGGTCAGATCCTTCACTGGAGCTGGACTCCTCCTCAAGGTCCAGGGGTGAAGAAGACCTCAAGTCCAGCAGGAGATCTCTTCTAATACTCCAGTGTCTCACTGCTGCTCCGTAGAGTTCTGGAGCTGAGCTGGAGTCGCTGGAGGAGTCTAGTCTGAGACTGGAGAGCCGTTGCTGGATTTCTTCCATTTCATCCTTGTCGAGTTTCAAGTGGTAGTCGGTGTGGGCGTCGTTCAGCTCGCGCAGGTCCGGCAGCTTCAAGAAGAGCTTAGGATAAAGAGCAGCCGTGTGATTAGGTCCGTAGCGCCACAGCATATACTTTTTTAAGAGGATGTAATATTTCTCTTGTTGCTTTGTCACTAAGTCCACATTTTCCAAGTTTGAGCGGTCAGGAGAGAGGAGAATTGTTACAAGAAGTAACATTATCGTTGGCTCATCAGGATCCAATTCTTTAATCCCTATTACAAATTTCATGTGCTTTTCAAACAAAGTAGGCGATACTAACTTCTTGATATCTTCCGCTCTTAACGGGGGCGAGTCTCTGTACAAGGTCTTTCTCCGATCTGGCCAACAACCGTTCCTCTCATCGAACACGTAAGCGCCACGCAGGAAGCACATCTCCATGACTCCGCTACGAAGTAAAACCTGTTGGTCACTATGTGGTATCACTGAGAACCCCTCCAGATTCTGCGCGAAGTGAGCGAATTGTTTGATTACTGTGAAAAACATATCAATAATTTCTGTACGACTTCTCTCGGAACTTTGGATGGTTAACTTCTCACTGAAACCAACTGCCTGGTAGCTTACTTCATACATGGTGATTAACGATTCAATGTCTTGCACGTCATTTTCCGTTAGGAATTTTCCCATTTCGTTGATGTCCGGATCGTAATCGGAAACACTCGTTTTTCTTCGAGGCTTATCGGATTCTGTCGTACCCTGTCTCTGCCTTTTCTCCATTCGACTACGTAACAGGTGCAGTCTCTCTTCCTCCGTCATCACCCAGCCTTTCTCCATCCCGATAGCCAAACATTTCTGAAAGCGACAATACTGACAACATTTTCGAGAACTGATAGTGATATCACATTTTCCTTCGTAGGGGCAGTGGAAATTCTTGTAGCCTTCGTTTTGCACTGAACGCCGAAAGAATGCTTTACAACTATCGCAAGAAATTCCACCAAAATGATAACTTTTGGCCCGATCTCCACACACTCCACAAACCTTTTGGTGTTTGCTGAACGAACGACTTGCTTCTTCCGCAGGTAATCCAGTGCTGCTGCTGCTGCTGCCGTTAGGGGGCAGACTCATTCCTGGAAAACAGAAAATCGAATATTTAAAACAAAAGTTACTATTTTATGATTCTGAAAGAGCTAAGTCATCGGGATGGACACGATGAAGTACAAACTGAAGCACATAAAACAAACAAAGCTCAGTACAAGTTCAGGAAAATACAGTTCTACTACACGTGGAATCCTGAAAAGGCTTTAAAACTGTAACCAACAAGCGCATTATTGACTACGATACTAAGTAAAACTAGTAGTTTGTTTGTTTTTGAATTTCGCGCAAAGCTACACGAGGGCTATATGCGCTAGCCGTTCCTAATTTAGCAGCGTAAGACTAGAGGGAAGGCAGCTCTTGGGCTACTCTTTTACCAACGAATAGTGGGATTGACCGTCACATTATAACGCCCCCACGGATGAAAGGGCGAGCATGTTTGGTGGGACGGGGATTCGAACCCGCGACCCTCAAATTGCGAGTCAAGCGCCTTATCCACCTGGCCGTGCCGGGCCCACGGTGGACAGACAAACACACAATTTACATAAAATTTTAATTGGGCGGATGGGAAGCGCTACCTGGAGAGTATAATACATGCATCAAACAATTGATGTCAGCCCATGACAACCCTTAACATTTTCGAGAAATTTAAATGAGAAAAATCTATGAGATATGAATTAAAATAAAAAAACAAATATTTAAAATTCCAACATGAGCCTAGCATTTCCAAACCACCAATCAACACGAATATCACAAATATGTAAAATTCCAACATGAGCCTGGCATTTCCAAACCACCAATCAACACGAATATCACAAATATGTAAAATTCCAACATGAGCTTAGCATTTCCAAACCACCAATCAACACGCATAATATCACAAATATATGTAAAATTCCAACATGAGCTTAGCATTTCCAAACCACCAATCAACACGAATATCACAAATACATGTAAAATTCCAACATGAGCTTAGCATTTCCAAACCACCAATCAACACGAATATCACAAATATATGTAAAATTCCAACATGAGCTTAGCATTTCCAAACCACCAATCAACACGAATATCACAAATATGTAAAATTCCAACATGAGCCTGGCATTTCTAAACCACCAATCAACACGAATATCAGAAATAAAGAAGATTACACTGGACAACAAAAAATCTGCTATTGGAGAAAAACACGAGTGACTCGGGGTAATTTCATGGTGCTGATATCAAAGATGTATTCAGAATTTATCCTTCGCCTCTAGATTTTGCGTTATTGTAATATCTCAATATTTTATCAGCACTACGCTAAATACCATGCAATCAACTCAGTACAATAGATTTATACTGTGAGATTAAGTTTACTTGGACACTTTAATCGATAAAAAGCATACATTTTTCATAATTTCATACACTGAATGTATTGTTTTGGTGTAAAATTCTAAAATTATTGTTCATATGT